TTTTTTCTGTAACGGGAAAAAAGTTTGACATTTTATCTCTGTTGACAGGTAACAAAATGTCACTTTTTATGAAATTGCTGTTTTCCCCGGGAAAAAAGTGAGTACTTTTTTCCCGGATATATACAATATACATAAGTAAAGGTAGATATTTAATTTTAGAATATTTTATTATATAGAAGTTACATTTCCTTTACACCAAAAGTACAATTATTAAATGTACATTGCATAAATGACATGTTTCTTAAACTATTCGGTATAACAGTCGAACTTTCTTGTGTATTTTTTTCTGTCATGGACACAACAGCCGTTGATGTACCTGGTCGCAAATCGGATGTTATTTCAGCACTGCCACACGTTCTAAACACTTTATTAGCTATTTATGTCCTGTGTGCTACCGATTCATCAATATATCCTTCAGCGACCGTTGATGACTTCCAACCGCCATGTTTCTTTAGTGTCATCAAGTCTCCCCCAGATTCAACTAAAAATGTAGCAGACGATCTCCGAAATGAATGACCTGTATATGAGTTAGCATTGTCAAGTTGAAGAAAATTAGCTACTGTTTCAGGTACCTTATAAAACTGATTTTTACCCACAACCTGATTGACACATTTCCCATTGCGATATGCATAAAACAGGCGACAATCTTTTGCTGCTGCTGGACGAAGGGTTGTTTACTTCATTCTTTGTTTGCTTAAGTTTCACAATTAATAGCGTTCCAGAATCTTCAATGTCATCTAATCTTACCTGGCTGATTTCACAAATTCGACAAACTCCTGCAATCCCAAATACAACAACAACTTGGGCCATTAAATAAACTTCATCAGGAGCATTATTTAAATAATCATTAATTTGTATAATCGTAAAAATCGCAGATTTCTTGGGCGTATAACCTTTCCCATTTTGTTTCAGAAATGTAATTAGTTTGAAATATTTTNATATGAGTTAGCATTGTCAAGTTGAAGAAAATTAGCTACTGTTTCAGGTACCTTATAAAACTGACTTTTACCCACAACCTGATTGATACATTTCCCATTGCGATATGCATAAAACAGGCGACGATCTTTTGCTGCTGCTGGACGAAGGGTTATGTACATTCGCTAAAATTTAACATATTCTGCAGTAACTACAAATCTCCTGTTTACATCATTCTTTGTTTGCTTAAGTTTCACAATTTATAGCGTTCCCGAATCCTCAATATTATCTAATCTTACCTGGCTGATTTCACAAATTCAACAAGCTCCTGCAATCCCAAATACAACAACAACCTTGGTCATTAAATAAACTTCATCAGGAGCATTATTTAAAATATCATTAATTTGTATAATCGTAAAAATCGCAGATTTCTTGGGCGTATAACCTTTACCATTTTGTTTCAGAAATGTAACTAGTTTGAAATATTTTGAAATGTCTATATTATTATTGGATTTTAACATACTTTTAATCATTGAATAATTCGACCACACTATTGATGGCTTTTGTTGTTGTGCCAGTTCCACAAAAAAAGCCAATAACACCGTCTCCGAAAAAGAACTGCATATCTTTTTCATCTTCCATTCAATAAATCTTGAATACGCGGTTTCGTAAATTTTCCGCGATTTAGCTGGCAATAATTTTTGTGACGCTACTTTCGCTGCTTCTACTAACTCCGATGGAGTAAGAGAAAACTCGGAATAAGACATTTTTTAACTTTATATTATTCAAAATAACTACTAAACAACCACTAAGTTTGCAATTTTTAAATCAAATCACAGAATTAAATTGACAGATATTTGATTACTTTAAAGGTTTCCTTAGCAACGCTGGTGTAATTGTCGCTGTAAGTATAACAGCCTACCAATTTTAAACTTTAGTGACTAATATATTGTAATAATGTTTTTTCAATATTAAATCGTTGTTTTTCCCGTCACAGAAAAAAATAGTGTATTATACACGGGAAAAAAGTAGATTTTACCTCTCGGTTTTTTGTCACCCTTCGCTTCGCATTGGGCGACAACATAACCTCGAGCTAAAATCTAGTACTTTTTTCCTTGTATAATAAATATCTATTAAATATTTTCAATATCAACCAACTGTTATTTCAGCTAGTGATTTGTCCATATTTGTAACCAAGGGATTTTCCATTACAAAGACCAAAAATTCAACAAAATAACAATTTTTAAACATAAAGCAACGATATTTAGACACTGCTGACAAGAATTATAGAATTACAGATTTTTTTTAGATGCTGCTCTTTTTACGTCAAAAATTAACTTATCTGAAATATTTTAAAATTAAATCATTTCGGGACAAAAAATTATCCAGGTATCTGACAAGTGTTTTAGGTAATATTGACCTATAGGAAGAAATCCTATCACTTTTCTGCGTGAGATTCGTTGAATTTTTTTTTATTTATTAACAATGAAGTGCAAAAAATGTAAATTTTCGCTATTTTTGCCTACCATTGCAAAAGTTTATATCCGATCGAAAATATAAAGTAATAATTACTTGAAACATAAATCAAGCTTTAAAATGACGTTTTATAAAAGTTGATAAATTAATTTGTTGCTTAGAAATTTGCAAAATAAGGGAAAATAAAAATTGACAATAAGTCTTGTAAAAATCCACCTACAAGTATGTTATGTGCATGAAAAGTTGGGTCTTGTGATACTTTATAAACCCTCCAAATTTCAGGTCGATCCATCAAATAGTTTAAATTTTATTCAAGTTGTTTATCCCAGAGACCATTATTTTGCAATAACATTAGTCAGAAAATAATGAAGATACAGTAATTCTACGGGTACCATAAGAAAGAAAAGAGCTAAACTATAATTATGAATAAAAAAAATGAAGAAAACATTGTTTTTTTTATTGAAAATTTATGTTTCAAAAATAGTAACATTTTTAATTTATAAATAAATTGAATAACATTTTCCCTATTGCTAGGAGATAACATATTTTTTCATATTCGGAAAAGCTGGTATTTTCAGACGAATTTAAAAAAAAATGTCCTAGGCCAATTTGGGCCAAAGTTACCTTTTTTTTAAATAATCATAACTAATTTGTTTATAACAATTAAGAAACCTAATTAGCATCATTTTGAAGTAAAGGTTCAAGGTTTAATTACAAAAATTTTTAAAGTGATTGCTCCATGACGAGAACTTCGGTGAAGCTTTAAAAATGATGCGA